TGCCCAACGGGCAACTGTTTTTGTAAAGGCACTTAGTAAACTCTTCTAAACCTTGTCCCCCAATGCACTCAACTATGCAAAAAACCTTCTTCTCCCAACCTACACTGTACAATGATAGCTCTAGCCAACTGCCAAGATACTGTTTCAGGATCCAAAAAACGACCCACTGAAACCTCCATGATAATCTATAGCCCACTAAAAACTAATTCATACAATAAGGATTGTGCTCCGAAGACCCTAAAAAGTTAACACCCACTACCCCGGACACCCTGACACAAGTCTCGACTTAATTCCCCCACCCGAGACTAGGCACATATCGCATCATACTTGTACCTTAGCTCTAATAGCCCATGTTAACACCCACTTAAAAGGTATCATACCCCACGTGGCATGTGCTATCTTGAGGTGCCGCAAAGTATCCCCATGGGTCAATTAAACCCCAATAGGGACAGGCTTCGAAGGCCCTCAAGTACAGAGGTGCCACAAATTACAAAATTGCTGAAAATTTTGTTTAAATTGCATTTATATGCTTATGTACATAGCTTATTGTATTTTCTGTTATATGCTGCACCCAGGGGAAAAGAAAGGTTAACTAGAAAAGCTACAATTTCTGGGGAAATTGTGTGAAGTGTTCTTGCCTCCACCAGTAGTCTACAACTGGAGTGGGCGACGTAACTGTTATCATTTATATAACACATTTAATTGCAACGTTGTTGCACAGTTACATTAAACCATACATTTATAAAACATTAGCAGGTGTTCAAAAGGCCCTGTCTATGACATCACTTGCTGCTGCAGCCTGGCACAGGTCAGAGTATTTTGGCGGTTGCCATCTTCAAACGGTCGTATTTTAAAAACTATAAATACTACAGCGAAGAGCTTTATATTGTGAGAATCACAAGACCCAGACCTACGTTTTGATGCATAGAATGTCTCTGACGTATTACAAATGAAGGCACAGTCGCAGTTTAGAAATTGCACTTCAAATTTGAGCTTTGTAGAGTGAGGTTTCAATTAATGTCAATTGGCGGCGTTAGTAGCAAACAAATGATTATATTGTGAAAACTATCAGGACTAGGCTTAGCCGTTGATGTTTAGTGGCAGCAGGGATAGCTGAACGTTTGATATAAGATTTGTGTAGGTGGGCCTGAAAATAAGGGAGTGGTGGCAGTTTAGAAATCATGTCCTGATTTTTCAGCTTTTGCCAGCTCCCACTCTAGCTTTGCCATTCGTTCCTATGGGACAAATTGCGCCACAAAAACGACGATATTCCGTGAACCATTCGGCGAAACATTCCACAAAGTAATAGCAATCCGATCGGGAACAATCTGCACGTTTTGGTAAATTTTGGTCTATGTAGTGTAAAAACTGTGGGAGGAGTTGGGGTGGCAAATTTTTGCTGTAACTTGTAGTAATAATAATAGCACTAGAAAAGCTACAATTTCTGGGGAAATTGTGTGAAGTGTTCTTGCCTCCACCAGTAGTCTACAACTGGAGTGGGCGGAGTAACTGTTATCATTTATATAGCACATTTAATTGCAACGTTGTTGCACAGTTACATTAAACCATACATTTATAAAACATTAGCAGGTGTTCAAAAGGCCCTGTCTATGACATCACTTGCTGCTGCAGCTTGACACAGGTCAGAGTATTTTGGCGGTTGCCATCTCCTAACGGTCGTATCTTAGAAACTATAACTCCTACAGTGAAGAGCTTTATATTGTGAGAATCACAAGACCCAGACCTACATTTTGATGCATAGTATGTCTCTGAAGTATTAAAATTGAAGGCACAGTTGCAGTTTAGAAATTGCACTTCAAATTTGAGCTTTGCAGAGTGAAGTTTCAATGAAAGTCAATGGACGGCGTTAGTTGCAAACAAATGATTATATTGTGAAAACTATCAGGACTATGGCTTAGCCGTTGACATGTTTAGTGGCAGCAGGGATAGCTGAACGTTTTGATATAAGATTTGTGTAGGTGGGCCTGAAAATAAGGGAGTGGTGCAGTTTAGAAATCATGTCCTGATTTTTCAGCTTTTGCCAGCTCCCACTCTAGCTTTGCCATTCATTCCTATGGGACAAATTTCGCCACAAGAACGACGATATTCCGTGAACCATTCGGCGAAACGTTCCACAAAGTAATAGCAATCCGATCGGGAACAATCTGCACGTTTTGGTAAATTTTGGTCTATGTAGTGTAAAAACTGTGGGAGGAGTTAGGGTGGCAAATTTTGCTATAATAATAATAATAATAATAATAATAACTAGAAAAGCTACAATTTCTGGGGAAATTGTGTGAAGTGTTCTTGCCTCCACCAGTAGTCTACAACTGGATTGGGCGGAGTAACTGTTATCATTTATATAGCACATTTAATTGCAACGTTGTTGCACAGTTACATTAAACCATACATTTATAAAACATTAGCAGGTGTTCAAAAGGCCCTGTCTATGACATCACTTGCTGCTGCAGCTTGACACAGGTCAGAGTATTTTGGTGGTTGCCATCTTCAAACGGTCGTATCTTAAAAACTGTAACTCCTACAGTGAAGAGCTTTATATTGTGAGAATCACAAGAACCAGACCTACATTATTATGCATAGTATGTCTCTGAAGTATTAAAAATGAAGGCACAGTCGCAGTTTAGAAATTGCACTTCAAATTTGAGCTTTGTAGAGTGAAGTTTCAATGAATGTCAATGGACAGCGTTAGTTGCAAACAAATGATTATATCGTGAAAACTATCAGGACTATGGCTTAGCCATTGACATGTTTAGTGGCAGGACGGATAGCTGAACGTTTTGATATATGATTTGTGTAGGTGTGCCTGAAAATAAGGGAGTGGTGGCAGTTTAGAAATCATGTCCTGATTTTTCAGCTTTTGCCAGCTCCCACTCTAGCTTTGCCATTCATTCCTATGGGCCAAATTTCGCCACAAGAACGACGATATTCCGTGAACCATTCGTCGAAACGTTCCACAAAGTAATAGCAATCCGATCGGGAACAATCTGCACGTTTTGGTAAATTTTTGTCTATGTAGTGTAAAAACTGTGGGAGGAGTTAGGGTGGCAAATTTGGCTATAATAATAATAATAATATATATGTGAGATAATATTAAGTGGTCTTGCTATGCAAGAACACTTAATAAGGAAAGGAGGGGAAAGCAGAAGAGCAGCAAATGAAAAGGAGGAGAAGCAGAGCAGAACAAGTCAAGGAGGAGAAGACAGTCAGAAGAAGGCAAAAAGAAAAATAGATTGGAGCAGGAAGGACAAAGTGGAAGACAAGTGATTCCTCCACTTCATCCTGACACTGGGCTGAGGCTTTGGTACCTGACAGGCAGACTTTGGACCCTCTCATCATCCAAGGTAAAATAAAAAAACTAGCAATGTATTCACTTTTTTGATTATGTGAGTTGTAGACATATTGGTTATTTAAAAAAAAAACAAAAAAAAACACCTGTTCACCATAATAACAACCTAAATCAAGTTGTTGGCTCTATTAACTTAATGAGTTAAAATCTATCCTAGATCTTTAGGTCCCCCAGCAGGATCCACTATCTGAAACCATTTCAGAAAGGTCAGAGTGCCACTGGTTGGGTACGGCAAAGAGTTACTAATTGGCTTAGAGCATCAGGTGACACCCCTGTCCAGCTGCAATCTGTGCTTCCAGAAACTCCTTTTCAGAAGCCTAATTCTGCTGGGCAACCTGTAGATCTGGCTTTGGAGGAAGCCTTTGGGGTTAAACCACTTGAGAGCTGTTTAACCTCTTAAAGTAAAGGGCACCCAGGGGCCTCCTGGCACCATAACATCTTCATTTAGATCAGAGGTTCTCAACCCAGTCCTCAAGGACCCCCGAACTGTCCAGGATTTAGGGATTATCCTGCTGTGTCTAATGTGTTTGTAGGGGGTGAACAAGCACTTGAAACACACAACAGGGTAATCCCTAAATCCTGGACTGGTAGTGGGTCCTTGAGGACTGGGTTGAGAACCCCTGATTTAGATGAAGTCTTATAGTGATCAGAATGTTCTTTAGTTTGCTGAAAGGACCACTATAGTGCCAGGAATACAAACCTGTATTGCTGACAGTATAGTTGCCCTGCCCTTATTTCCTGCGCCAGTATCTCTGCGGCTCACCCTGCTTCGCCTTCCCATGAAAAAGCACTGGAAGGCTATTGCACATACATGGCAAAATGCCACCCTGCGCCAACCCGCATCTCCTCACAGCGATGCACTGAATCAATGAGGAGCGTCCATGCTGCACACACAGTGCTCGCACAGGAATCACATTTGGTGACTGAGTGACTGCCACTAAAGGTATTCCTAGGCAGTAATGTAAACACTGTCTTTTCTCCCATATTTATAAAAATAATTAAAAATACATTTTGCATAGAAAAAGCCTGTGAAGGGCGAAGGTAGCCATCAGACTATGGACAATTGAAACGTCTCTCAGTCTCCTTTTCAATCTGCTCCGGTCTGCCTGGACACTGGACTGGCTGGTCACCCAATCATGTGGTTCCTCTCATTTCATCTCTTTCAGGTACGAAACCTTTTTTTTTCCCTCCACTACAGTTTGAGGCTTGAATCACAAAGCCTCTGACTGGCTCTGCCAATCACAAAACAGAGTGGGAAACATGCCAAACATATATTTTTCTCACTCTGTTTTTGTGAAAGAGGAACTACTGCTAGGCTGAGCTCTCAGATGATGTTCCTAGCCTATCATTGATGCCTGATGTGGAATCAATCAATTATCTTGCGTATCTGCCCCCAGCCAAATTAAAGAAGTAATGCGTGCACGCTCCTAAAGTAATTCACACCAGACCCCTATGATGGCATACCATTTGCAATAGTAGACAACCCAAGGTATTGCAAATAGGGTATGTCCAGTCTTTTTTAGTAGCCACTTAGTCACAAACACTGGCCAAAATTGGCGTTTTTTGCATTTTTCACACACAAACAAATACTAACGCTAACTTTGGCCAGTGTTTGTGACCAAATGGTTACTAAAAAAGACTGGACATACCCCATTTGCAATACCTTGGGTTGTCTACTATTGCAAATGGTATGCCATTATGGGTGTAAATTTCATTCCTGGGCTACTATACAGTCTCAAAGGCAACATAACCAATCTGGCGAATTTCAATTTCAAATGTAACGTGCTATATTTGACCCTGTAACTTCCCAAAACGTCATAAAACCTGTATATAGGGGGTACTGTCTTACACGTGAGACTTGGCTGAATACAAATATGTGTATTTTATTGCAGTAAAAGCAAACAGTATTATGACATTGACCGTTAAAATGTCATGTAGAACTAAAAAAATAATAAAACAAATCTTATTTTCTCCCATTTTTTTCATATTAAATTATGTTTCATAGCTAAATATTTGATATTAAATGAAAGCCCTGTTTCCCCTGAATTAAATGATATATAATAAGGGTGGGTGCATTTAATATGAAAGACGCGAACTACGGTTGGACAGACATATAGTCAATTTCCAGGTTTTGTTTAAGTTTTGTTTTGTTCACAACGTGTACATTTGGCTTAGTCCTTAAGGACACATGATGTAAATATATGGTCATGATTCCCTTTTATTCCAGAA